CTTCAAGAGGGAATTAGATAAGCATATGGAGCAGAATTCCATCAGTGGCTATTAGCCACAAGGTATAGATAGGAACTCTCGGTCTGGGGCAAGTGATGCTCTGTATTCTTGGTGCTTGGGTGGGGGGGCAACAGTGGGAGGGCTCCTAGTGTTCTGGACCCACTGCTGGACCTCCTGATGGCACCTGGCATTTTTGGCCACTATGTGACAGAGGGTTGGACTGGATGGCCCTTGGCCCAATCCAACTTTGGCTCCAGTTTGGTGTCGTGGTTAAGTGTGCGGACTCTAATCTGGGAGAACCGGGTTTGATTCCCCACTCCTCCACTTGCACCTGCTGATGTGACCTTGGGTCAGTCACAAGCTCTGGCACAGCTGTCCTTGAAAAAGAGCCGTTTCTGTCAGAGCTCTCTCAGCCCCACCCACCTCACAGGGTGTCTGTTGTGGGGAGGGGAAGGGAAAAGGAGTTTGTAAGCCGCTCTGAGACACCTTTGGGGTAGTGAAGGGCGGGGTATAAATCCAATCTCCTCCTCCTCCTCCTTATTTTGCAACGTACCTTTATTGACTCTTCATTATTTTTGTCACGGATGTTGTTTTTGGATTCCCACTTCCTCCCGTGATCGCTCATTTTTGGCTTCTACTACCTGCAGGTTGGCAACCCTATTTAGAAGACTCATTTGGTCTTAAAGGAGTTTTATGGGTCAGGAGATGCATGGAGAGCTGTATGGGCTGCTAGGTGCAGGATATGCATTTTTAAAAAATTAATATGAATGGCTTACCTTTCTCTCCCTCCAAATGAAGAGTCAGAGAGAGTGACCCTACACTGCATGTTGGGTGGCTTGGGCCCCACGCCGGCTTCAAATTGTCTGAATCTGACTTGGCTTGGTCCATTGAGGACGATGGTGATGAGCGTGGAGGTGAACTACCGCTACCCTGGGCTTGAGGCAGGCCCAGATATGAACTGGGGGCTGCTGATCCGCAACATCTCCAGGCAAGATGGCATGCAGGTTACTTGCAGCTGGCAAGGAAATCAAGGTGGGAACCCAGTTGTCGGGATCTATCAGCACACATTGGGTCTGGATTGGTTGAGTGCAGTTTAAGAGGTTGGTGGGGAGAAGACAGCTGGTGTGGTGATCAGAGGACAGCAATAGGACTATGGAGACTTGTCTTCAAATCACAACTCTGGCTAACCTACCTCACAGGGTTGTTGGGATAAAATGAGGGAGGGAAAAGCCACCCTGACTCTCTGGAAGGGAAGGCAGGGTAATCCTGTGGCAGATAAGAAGAAGCTGGATGGGAAATTCACACCTGTGTTGTCCTAATTCAGTTTTAAAAATTGCAATTTAGATGAATTTGACAACATCCGGATGTGAAGGATTCCATTTGGCAAATTAATATGACTGCCTTGTCATTTTCTAATCCAGGGGGAGAGATAAAGGGCTCCCCTACACACAGAAACATGCATGTTAATTTTTGAAATAGCCAATCAACAGACAATGCAAGGCAAAAAAGTATACCCAATCAAGAAAAGTAAGAAGGGGAAAAAGCGGAGTCCTGAGTTGTAGTCTACTAAACTGATGAAATAATTAGAAATCATAAATGTTCTGATACTGCTTTTTAAAAGGATCTTCCTCAAATGTTAGCATGAATTTGAAATTTTGGTTTAAATCTTCAGAAATGGAATAAGAATGTGAGAGAAAGGAGGAATCCCACCAAGATGGGGTTTTTTTTGGGGGGGGGTGTCTGACCTCCATGGGGACCTGGGCAAGATGCCATCAGTGTTAGCTATAAGTTCAGCAGCTCCTTTGCGCCTTTGTTGATAAAGTTGCCAACTCTGGGTTGGGAAAGACCTGGAGATTTTGAAGGTGGAGCCTGAAGAGCATAGGGTTTGGGAAGGAGAGGGACTTTCATAGGGTATGATGCCATAGAGTCCACCTTCCGAAGGAGCCATTTTCTCCAGGTGAGCTGATCTCTGTTGCCTGGAGATCAGTTGTAATCCCAGGAGATCTCCAGCCACCACCTGGAGGTTGGCAAACCTATTTACTGAGCATGAGAGAGAAAATACTACCCTGGTTCAGTCATGCTAGACTTAACATACCTCACAGGGTTGATGTGAAAATAAAAGGGTCATACACACCAACTTGATCTTCCTGGAGGAAGGAGAAGAAACCACTGTGAGGAATGAAATGGAAACGGCACTGCCTCGTGTGCACAGAAAGAACCAATCTCTAATCTGTTCCTTCTGACAGCAAGAAATTTGTTTTCATATGATGTCTGGATCAGGTTTGGGTGGCACGAGGGAAGCCCAGAAGGAATCTGTGTCCGGACTTGAGGGGGTTGCCCAGGGTTACTATCAGAAACCCTGCTCAGGGCCAGAGTGGCGGGTGGCAGTGGTGGTGCCTGAGCAAAGGCCCAGGGCTATTTTTTGGCAGGAACGCACAGGAACGGAGTTCCGGCTGGCTTCCAAGTTGGCCACTCCCAGCAGGAACTCATTAGCATAATAGGCCACACCCAGCATCAGAAACTCATGAGGATTGGCTACAGTAGGGGTGTGTGGCCTAACATGCAAAGGAGTTCCTGCTACAAAAAAGCCCTGGGTTTTGACAACAAACAAGGTAAACAGAATAAGAAGCAAAAGGTGGGTGTGGCTGGATGACCACACTTCTGGTAACATGGGGGTGTGGCCTAATATGCCAATGAGCTGTACTATTGGGGGTGTGGCCTAATATGCTAATGAGTTTCTGCTGTTGGGTATGGCTTATTATGCTAATGAGTTCCTCCTGGGCTTTTCTACAAAAAAAAAGCCCTGCAAAGGCCTAGGTCATCCCTACTTGTCAGAGACTGCTCTAGGGGTGCCAGCCTCCAGGTGGGACCTGGGGATCCCTGGGAATTACTGCTCATCTCCAGACTACAGAGATCAGTTCCTCTGGAGAAAATGGGTGCTTTGGGGGATGGACTCTGTGGCACTGTGTCCCGTTGAAGTCTCTGTCCTCCCCTGGCTCTACCCCCAAATCTCCAGGAGTTTCCCAACCTGGATCTGGCAACCCTACCCCCCCCCATCCCCTGCTGGTGGCCAGAGGGAACCTGGTAACCCTAGCCGTCACCCTCATTCCTTTCATTCATTCTTGTTCTTTGGCCTCATTCTCTCAAACAGCACGTGAGGTGATAAGTTAGTTTCTGCATCCCACCACGTCAAACTGCAGGTGGGGTCTTGTACGCCTGAATGTTTTTTTAATCCCTTTACGTAGGAAAGTAGATGTTGGGGGAAAGAGATGTAGCCCACTCTTGGCCTTGATATGGTACTTTTCTCCGGCCCCTGCCACACGGCAGGAAAAAGAAGGGGCGAAGCGCGGCTTTTAAAAGCCGCGCCAAAAAAGAAACGCCACAGCGGGATCCTATGGTTTTTTTTAGCAGGATCGAGATTCCGCATTACGGCAGGGGGCCGGGGATGCGACGGCAGCAAGACGCGCCGCCGATCCCACGGCCAGGATGAAGCGGACCATCCGGATGAACCACCGAAGGTAGGTGGTTCATCTTTGACGCGCTTCATCGGGGGAAGGGCCGGATTGGAGGTGCGAGCGCGACGCCAGGCAGATGTTGGCGTGGGATCACGCCCGTTTGCTGCGCTTCCAATCCGGCCCGCTCCCGGCCCAAACTGCCTCGTATGAACAGGGCCTCTGTGTATCTTTAAAAAAACAAAACAAAACGGAGCATCAAGCGAACCTCTGTCTGCAGTCTGAAGTGCTGCAGTCCAGAAACAGCTTCTTTTTTTAAAAAAACACACCCATCTCATCTGCTTGTTTATAAAAACCAAGCCTTTGTCTCTCTTCCCTTCCCACCAGAGAACGAAATGGAAGTTCTGGACTACCCTTCTAAGTACGAGTGTAAGTCCAAGGGCCAAGGAGGGAGGGATGGCAGAGGAAGTGAATGATAAGATGAACGTGAGGGAAAAGGTTCTCTGGTTAGTTTGTTTAGTTGCTTTACGGCTAAAAGAAGGAAATCTATATAATAACCATCTCTGGCCACGGCCTCAAAATATGTGCACAATGGGAACCTTGGGGTATATCTTCCGGCAAACCTGGATTTCTCCAACCTGAAATGGTCGAGTCTCTGTTTACCTCATTCTGGGCTCCGTATGTACTAATGGGCTAGAGCAGTGATGGCGAACCTTTTAGAGACCGAGTGCCCAAACTGCGACCCAAAACCCACTTATTTACCACAAAGTGCCAACATGGCAATTTAACCGGAATACTGAGGTTTTACTTTAGAAAAAACAACTCATACATTAACTTAAGATGATCCAAACAAAGTAAGGAAAGCGATCCCAAATGCTTTCATTGACTTAAAATTATTTGGCAGGGAATTCGACACTTTAATGATGGTCTGGGCCTGGCTGGGGCGATGGCACGCGTGCCCACAGAGAGGGCTCTGAGTGCCACCTCTGGCACCCGTGCCATAGGTTCGCCACCACTGGGCTAGAATGATGTTTCCCAAACAACAGAGCAAACAGTGGCTCCTCAGGGCTCTTTCAAGTTGGGAAATAGGCTGGGTGGGCCATGCAGACATCACAGGAAAAAACAGAAGGGACTCAAAATACCACCCAGCAACCAGAGCTGCAAGCAGAAGGGGGTGTAGGGGGCAGAAAAGAGCAGGTGGGTGGGATGAGCGGCTGGTGGGAGGGCAGACCAGATGGGTGCCTCGGGAATCAAGGGCTGTCAGGGGCGGTTTAGGGTCAAACGAGAAATGACAGAGATCCCCTCTGCGTGCCGCCTGCAGTCATGAATCAGACAGGCCCACCATGCATACCTGGCTATCGTGGAACTCCAAAACACAGCTTTCAACCTGGCTCACGGAGATGCCTGGGTAAACATTAGATCTTTGGCTAGAGGGGAAAAGAAGGGAGGGAAAGGAAGGAAGGAAGGAAGGAAGGAAGGAAGGAAGGAAGGAAGGAAGGAAGGAAGGAAGGTGGTCCCCGTCCTCCCCAGGCTCCACCCCCAAATCTCCAGGACTTTCCCAACAACCTGGCAGGCCTACAACCGCCCCCCCATCCCCTGCTGGTGGCCAGGGGGGACCTGCAGGGGTGGATTAACCATTAAGCAGACTAAGCACGTGCTTAGGGCACCAGGGCCAAAGGGGGCACCACAAAGTTGGGAAAAGGGTGAACTTTATGTAGCGTAAGCTTGGCTTAGTTTGTACAGTATATTGTGTTATCATATGAATAAATTTTTGTATTGCTGCAACCTGCATTGTATATCTGGTCAGACGGGTCAACAACTAAAATGGACTGGGTCAGTGTGGAAAGGAGAGGGGCACCAATATTGGTCAGTGTTCAGGGCACCAGTGAGTCTTAATCTGCCCCTGGGAACCTGGCAACCCTAACAATCCTGAGGGGAAGATTTAGGAGGTGGGATAGGATTTCTCAATTGTTTTCCCCTCTCATGATTCCTCATGGACCCCAGCTCATACATTTACATTTGTTAGCATGACCTGAGCAGCATCAGATCCCAGTACTGGGATCAAATTCTTTTAGTAGAAGCAGGGGTCATTTCCTGCGGGAGCGCACAGGAGCGGAGCTCCGGCAGTAAGGAGCCCAGGGGGCAGGCACATACAACAAGCCCCGCCCCCTGCTCCCAGAAGCCCTCAGTCGGGCCACAAGGAGCAAGAAGCAGCCAAGTAAGTTGCAGAGCCCCAACCCCCAGCCTTCAGGTACAAGCTCTCCCTCCTCTGTGAGGGCAGATCTGCACGTCCCCCCCCCCCATAGCTAGCAATCCAAAACAGTCCAGTGGCACCTTTAAGACCTTTATTCAGGTACAAGCTCTCCCTCCTCTGTGAGGGCAAATCTGCACGTTTCCCCCCACCCCAATAGCTAGCAATCCAAAACAGTCCAGTGGAGCCTGAGCAGTGGGTGTTGCCTTCTGACACACTTCTGGTGATATCAGGGGGCGTGGCGTATGGAAATAAATTATGCTCATTATTTATGCTAATGAGCTCCTGCACCTCTTTTTCTACGAAATGACCCCTGAGTAGAAGTGATTGGGAGCCAAGAACTATCAGAGCGTAATGGTACATGGGAACTGGATCCCCGTTTGGGAGTTCTATTTTCGCTCCCCAAAGCGGGTGAATTCTTATGGCCTTCATACACTCCCTGTGTAGAATGCAGACTGTGATATAATCTCTTTTATAGGGAACAGTTTATGGGAACAAGAGGTTAGTTGAAATACTTGTAGAGGACTTTGCTGAATGCTTGATGAATAGTTGGGAAATAGGGGCTGCATGGGCCATTGTTCTAATACTTGTGCTCAGGGGTCGTTTCGTAGAAAAAGAGCATAACTCATTAGCATATGCCACACCCCTTGATATCACCGGACGTGTGTCATAAGGCCACACACCCCGCCCCCAACGGTCCCAGCTGCCGCCGCCGGCCTTGCAGCTCCACTGCCGAGCCCCATGAGGGGCCTGGCAGTGGACCTGCAAGGCCAGCGGGAGTGCAAGGAAGCTTACCTCACCCAGGGGAACTGCGATCCCCCGCGATCCCCCCCGAAATGACCTCTGCTTGTGCTTTTCGTTAGTTAGTGCTGCCAAAAGGCTTATTGGGATTCTTGGTGGCGTGAGAGAAATCAGGGAGGAGAGTGTTAGAGTGAAAGGCAAATGGGTGTGTGTGTGTCTGTGCTGTTTGTGGTTTCTCCTGACAATGCAGTTAATTACAGGATGGGAAGAAAGGGAAAGGCACCCCTGCTGGGGAGCAATTCAACAGACTGCAGGCCAGTGCTCCCTCTAAGCTGTGTAGTCTTGTGAGCAAAAATTCTACTTTGTGAGCTACTGGCATTAAAGTTGTGAGCGAGCAATTTGGCTACTGCATGAATTAGCTGGCTCTGGAGCCATCCTTCCTGAGCGAAGACAAAAATGGGTGAGCTGGAGGCTAAAAAAACTGTGAGCTAGCTCACACTAACTCAGCTTAGAGGGGACATTGTGACTGCAGTGTAAGCTAAGCTGTCTGATGTTGGTTCTCTACACAGGCATCCCAACATGCTATGGAGACCTGGGGGATCCCTTGCCCTTTTCAATGGTTGTACTCAAAGATAACCACTAGATGTGACTTCCATCTTCTGATGATTTCCTGGTAGTTATCTTAGAGGCAAAAGGGAGAGCCAGTTTGGTGCAGTGGTTAAGGGCGCGGACTCTAATCTGGGAGAAACGGGTTGGATTCCCCACTCCTACACTTGCACCTGGCTGGATGACCTTGGGCAAGCCGTAGTTCTGATAAGAGCTGTTCTTGAAAAAGAGCAGTTTCTGTCAGAGCTCTCTCAGCCCCACCTACCTCACAGGGTGTCTGTTGTGGGGAGAGGAAGGGAAAGGAGTTTGTAAACTGCTCTGAGACACCTTTGGGTAGTGAAGGGCGGGGTATAAATCCAATCTCTTCTTCTTCTAAAACATAAAGCTTCCCATATTTTATGCTCCAACAAGGGTGAAATGGGACCACGGTTAGGAAAAATACTATTGAAGTATTGTCAGATTATCTTAATCTATAATGGAAGCCATTGGGTAGGAAACAGCACTGCCATATGTGGTCATGATGTATTCAGTTTTACATTTCAATCAAATGAAGTCATCAAGAGCCAATATTTCAAAAAAACATGGGGATGCAGTTGAATGGGGAACAATAGATACTTGTGCCAGAGTGAAATATGAATATTAACTAGCCTATGGGTAAGAAATGGGCTAGTAGCAAAAATTATACAGAATAGTACACAACAGGAAATGTCTCTATTTCCCCCAGACACCTGGTGTGTATTGGATTGTGGAGAAACAGCCTATCAAGCTATGCCTCCCCCCACCCCATCCCCGATTGGAAAGAAAGGTGAACGTTTGGACATCTGGTGCCATCGCTGTTGAAAGTACAAACCTTGACCAGTTCCCTGCCTTTGAATTTAGGAAGTCTTGTACATAAGCTTACACAAAAGGCAAGAAGCATTGATAGCCCATTGGCTGCACGATGCTCAGGATTCCATGCCCATTACTAGGGCTTTTCTCCCATGGTTAGGAGTACGTGAATTGGAAAAAGCAATTGTGAATATTTCAAAAGGGATTAGAATTAAGTTTTAGTGATACCGTCAACACCCTCATGGATTTGCAAAATAAAATAAAATCACTCTCCCGGGTGGTTCTACAAAATCGAAAAATGCTGGATATTTTAATTGCCCAACTAGGTGGAACATGAGCATTAATAGCAGGAAAATGTTGTTTTTATGTTAACACTGAAGGAAATGTTACCAATGCCATTGCAGAAATAAAGAGGAATAATAAGGTTTATGGCCAAATAGGAAGAGAGCTCTTGGACGTTTGGACATGGTTATCTGGATGGATACCTGACATTGGAGGTTGGTTAAGAAATGTATTATAAATAGGAATAATAATTATCGTGCTATTAACTCTGCTGTGTAGTTGCATCCAATGTATCCTGAACCTATGGGCAGTGTTTGCTTCCTGTTTTTTGGAGAAGAGGACCCACTGCAGAACACTATTATGAAGCTTAGCTAATGCAAACTGAAGCGAGAAATGACTCTTTAGCTGTAACAAGGCATGAAGAGTCAAAGTGGGGGGGGGTGTTGATGAGCAAGCTGGCAAGAGTAACAGCGTCTTAAATCTTAAACAATATTGTACTTTAACAGTGATGTGTGCAGCTTAGGCAAGCTAAATTTAGCCCAAAGTATAAAACAGGATGTAGCAATCTGGGTAAGAGGGCATGATGTTCTGCAAGATTTATAGACAATCATAAGTTATATTTATAGAAAATCATCAGTTATTTTCCATCCTGATTCCAAATAAGGGTGAAAAGACATACGGTATATGTTTTGCAAATTTATTTATATGGAAGCAAAGGAAGTATAATCTCTGTAATCTAAAGACTTCTGAACTTGTCTAAAAATTGTTTGTCACATTGTATAAAATGCTAATGCTGATGCCTTACTAATGGAGTCCTCCGATTTTGCTGCCGAGGTCCCCCTTATTGCAATAAAGTTTCATTTGCTCCTGGAATCTCACTGGTTGTGTCCATCATTGGGTGCTGGCACACCAGGCTAAGGGCCCATTTGGCTAACAGAGTCAGCTTTCCAAAGTGGCAATTTCCTCCAGGTGAACTGATCTCTATTGCCTGGAGACCTCCAGCCACCACTCGGAGGTTGGCAACTCTAGGTATAAAGGACAGCCCTACCTCCCAAAAGATGAGGAAACACAGCTCTGTAAGCAAGTTGTATGTTGGGAAATGAGATCAGAAGGAGGGTTGGGTTAGTTCAGTGGCAGAAAGTGTGTGGAGAAAGATGGGGGGGTATGGTATGGTTATGAGTGTGGACTGAGGGGAGAGTGGGCCAGCCTAATCATCCTAGTCTGTTTCCTTCAGATGATGACGAGAACACTGAAGACGAAATTGATTCCAATATGAACGATTCATCAAGCGGTAATAACTCCTCCGTTTTTAGCACGAGAGACGAGACGTCACCTATTGGGAACATGGCTCCCTCTTCCCAACACCTCACAGGAAACTAGTTCCTCTATGGGCAGCACCTTGAACATATGGGCCCTGGTGGGGTGAAAGGAGGGAATTCTGGGACTGAGACAAGTATCTTTTTAGTTTTGGTTGGTTTTGCTTTTTTTCAACGCTTCCACAGGCAATTTTTTTCATTGGGAACTAGGGAGAAGGATTAAGTGTTGTATGAAGAGGAATTTGGATGAATCCTGGGATACGGTTCATAGGGTTGCCAAATCTAGGTTGGGAAGTCCTTGGAGATTTGGGAGGTGGAGCCTGAGGAGGGCGGGGTTTGGGAAGGGGAGGGACCTCAGCAGGGTATAATGCCATAGAGTCCACCCTCTGGAGTTGCCATTTTCTCCATGGGAGATCTGTAGTCTGGAGATCAGTCGTGATCAGGGCTTGCTTCTTCTTTTTTGAGAAAGAGGTGCTGGAACTCTCAAGAGGGAGATGAAGTTTTCAATCTGTATACTGAAAAGTCATGAACTTTTAAACATTTTAAAAAGAATTTTGTCAAAGAGGTTCCGGAACTCTGTTCCAGCGCGCTACCCCAGGGCTATTTTTGGGCAGGAACGCACAGGAACGGAGTTCCGGCTGGCTTCAGAGGTGACCACGCCCACTACAGCCAAAACCTCTGTGTGCGTGGCTACAGAGGGAAGGCCTGGAGAGCTACCCCCCCCCAGTGACTCCGAGGCAAGGATACTCTGAGGCGGGCGAGCTGTGTTGTCAGGGGTGTGGCCTAATAGGCTAATGAGTTTCTGATATTGGGTGTGGCCTATTATGCTAATTAGTTCCAGCTGGGCTTTTTCTACAAAAAAGGACCTGGCGCTACCCCAGGGGGAAAAGCCCTGGTTGTGATGGGGGGGGGGGATATCTGGGTCCCACCTAGAGGTTGGCAACCCTGATTCAGAGCAATGGATTGGGCCGGGAGGTGAGGGGGGAGATTCTTTTGGGGAGTGGTGGGGGCCAGGTATGGCTTACTGACTGGCTGTAGCCCATTCCTAGAGATTATGAGCTTTGTACCCTGTTTTTTGAGGATCACGAAACTGCAGGGAAATTCGGGCGAAGCTGCTGGTCAAAATGCAGCCGTGCAGCTTCAAATGGGAAATTGACCAATAGAAGTGGGGCAAAGGGAGGCGCGACTGTGGCACAGCTCTTGTGTGAAATCGGTCATAGAGTTGTCTCCCAATTTTCCACAAGCCACGCTGTTGAAGATTTCACCAAAAATCAAGGTGCAAAAGGGGCATATCGTATCTTGCACAAATGGAGCTGTGCTAGATGGAGGGAAGTGTTTTTGGATCCCAACTTCCCCTTCCTGCTGCAGCCTGCTGTCATTCCCCCCTCCCCCATTTTATCCCTGAGATGTCCTTGGATCCCTCGAGAACAGCATAGAGTTTTCAGCAGAGGGGGAAATTGCTTCTAGTGTCCTGGCCCCACTGCTGGACCTCCTGATGGCACCTGGTATTTTTGGCCACTGTGTGACAGAATATTAGACTGGATGGGCCATTGGCCCAATCCAACATTGGCTTCTCTTATGTTCTTGCTGCTTTAACATTTAGCAACAAGGCCCAATGCCTACTTTTTTCCAAGCATCCCACAAAATCAAATTGGATCCAAAATGTGACATTTTTGCTTTACATTTTAAAAGCCCAGCCCCCGATTTGCACCTGTACCAAATTGTGCTTCCACTCAACAGTCCTCCTTTCTCACCCTCCGCTACCACAGGCACCTCCATTCCTCCTTCAGAGAACCTGGATTTCAAAGATTTTGCTGTGGATGGGACACATTTTCCTTGTAATGACTCTGTAGCCAGCAACTGGACCCAGATGGCCGTATCCTGGAACCCACATGAAATAACAAAAGCAGCCCTGAGTATGAAAATACAGCAGACGGCTCCTTACCAGCTGCGAGTGTCTTCGGACACTATCTCCTTACTGCTGCCTTCCGTAACTTTCAGAGATGCTGGAAACTACTCCTGTTACTGGAAGAACCAAAGTCAGCATATTCGGCTGGAGGTGTCAGCAAAGTCAGGTATGGCTCATGGTTAAGGGGCAGGTCATTAGGAAGAAGTTGCATACTTTTGCAATGCAATCATAGGCTGCATGCTGTATGTAGTCGGGAGTGGGGGGGGGAGACGTCATACTAGGGTTGCCAAGTGGTTTTTCGCTGGGAGTGGAGGGGCTCCCGGCTGGCGCCTGGTGTGTGCGCATGCAAAGCGCGTGCACGCTGCATGCGCATCACCTGGAAGTGACGTGATAACGCCAGGCACGCTGGGGCGGGGCCACGGCCATACGAGCGAAAACCATAGAGTTTTCCCTCGGATGGCCATGGCCCCGCCCCCAGCGTGCCCGGCGTCCCACTGCTGGACCTCCTGATGGCACCTGGTATTTTTGGCCACTGTGTGACAGAATATTAGACTGGATGGGCCATTGGCCCAATCCAACATTGGCTTCTCTTATGTTCTTGCTGCTTTAACATTTAGCAACAAGGCCCAATGCCTACTTTTTTCCAAGCATCCCACAAAATCAAATTGGATCCAAAATGTGACATTTTTGCTTTACATTTTAAAAGCCCAACCCCCGATTTGCACCTGTGCCAAATTGTGCTTCTGCTCAACAGCCCTCCTTTCTTACCCTCCACTACCACAGGCACCTCCATTCCTCCTTCAGAGAACCCAGTTTTCAATGATTTTGCCGTGGATGGGACACATTTTCCTTGTAATGACTCTGTAGCCAGCAACTGGACCCAGATGGCCGTATCCTGGAACCCACATGAAATAACAAAAGCAGCCCTGAGTATGAAAATACAGCAGACGGCTCCTTACCAGCTGCGAGTGTCTTCGGACACTATCTCCTTACTGCTGCCTTCCGTAACTTTCAGAGATGCTGGAAACTACTCCTGTTACTGGAAGAACCAAAGTCAGCATATTCGGCTGGAGGTGTCAGCAAAGTCAGGTATGGCTCATGGTTAAGGGGCAGGTCATTAGGAAGAAGTTGCATACTTTTGCAATGCAATCATAGGCTGCATGCTGTATGTAGTCGGGAGTGGGGGGGGGAGACGTCATACTAGGGTTGCCAAGTGGTTTTTCGCTGGGAGTGGAGGGGCTCCCGGCTGGCGCCTGGTGTGTGCGCATGCAAAGCGCGTGCACGCTGCATGCGCATCACCTGGAAGTGACGTGATAACGCCAGGCACGCTGGGGCGGGGCCACGGCCATACGAGCGAAAACCATAGAGTTTTCCCTCGGATGGCCATGGCCCCGCCCCCAGCGTGCCCGGCGTCATCACGTCACTTCTGGGTGATGCGCACGTCGGGGTGGAGTTCTCCCCAGGGCCCGATCCAGCGGCGGGGAACAGGCCTCTGGGGCGGGGGTTTCCCCGCCCCCCGGGGGGACTTGGGAAGCCTGCGTCATACAGCCACACAAAATCCAAAAAGAACAAAACCCACCGAATACCTTTTATTAGGATCAACACGCTGTGCAGGCTTTCGAGCTTGCCAGAGTTCTTTGTCAGGATGGATGTGACGGAATTTAAAAAGATGGAAGAGTAGAAGGCAGAATTCTCAGGCCATGATCTTAAGGCCTGATCTTACAGGCATCCTTTGTGAGGTGCCAGCAGGCAATTACCTAGTTTCACTTTGATTGGTGAGATGTAGAGTTACAACATGGTCTCTGGGAGGCTGCATTTACTCAGTGTAGTGTAGTGGCCTGTCCTGGAACTGCTGTCATGTTTATTGAGAACTATTTGGTGGAACTGAAAGAAATGAGACAGCTGTTAAACCCCCTTGGAAGTGTTTTCTCTGCTTGATTAATTATATGAAGGCTTTGGTTCCAATTGGTGCCCGGTCCTGTTGAAGTCTGATTGAAACCGCCTTTCAGTCTGGAGTAGCTAGTTGATTGCTTGAATGCTTTCATCTTCTACAAGAAAGACTTTAATAGACTTTTTATGTGAGAATTTACTCCTGTTGGTGTTCATATGATCATTGTGCCTTATGTGTGAACTGTAATATTACTATTGGATCATTAAAACACACTGTTGAAATAGTATATATTGTAAAATAGATTATTCTTGGCACGATGTTGTATAATTTCTGATTCTCATTGTTCACCAGGGTCCCTTTTACTACTGTCATGCTTATTTAGACAGATGAGCAAACTTCCACACTGAATTGAACTCAGGGGAACTGCTTGTTCCAGGAGTAGCGAATGCTAATGAATGCTGATTGGCTGGTAATGAATACTGATTGGCTGGCCTGGTGACAGGCATGAGGTTCCCATGGCCTGTACAGAATGCTCACTGGCTGACCCTGATGACAATAATCAAGTTCCCTGTCACCTGTTTTCATATTTGGCTTTGTGGAAGGCTGATAAGCTGGCCCCAATGACAATTGCAAAGTCCCCAACCCATATGTGTCTCATATTTGCTAACAAAAAGGAAATGGTTAAAAATCTGCAGCTAGAAAAGTTTAAATAAATGATATATGTGTATATGCTTATTTTACAAAGTGGGTTCTGCTTCTGCTAATTGTGAGGAAGTACAATGAACTATGTGAGGCATAGTTAGCCCCTGACTACTTCTGGCCACAGGAAATCCTACTCAGCCCTATCCCTGGTCTTTGAAATTTCACAGAAATTGAAAGGTGCTTTCATAAATTTTCGGTCTTAAGGACTAGAAACTTGGTTCTAACCAATGAAAACTAAAACGAGAATGCTGATAGGGATGCCAGCCTCCAGATGGGACCTGGGGATCCCCTGGAATTACAGCTCATCTCCAGACTACAGACATCAGTTTCCCCGGAGAAAATAAATGCTTTGGAAGGTGGACTCTATGGCACTGTACCCCAAATGAGGTCCCTGTCCTCCCCAGGCTCCACCCCCAAATCTCCAGGAGTTTCCCAACCTGGATCTGGCAACCCTACCAACCCCATGGTGGCCAGGGGGAACCTGGCAACCCTAATTGCTGAATTTTGTGCCCACTCTCATGCATATACAGAGGCAGTTAACTCTTCCACCACCCCAGGTGTTAAGCTGTATTTTGGAAAACAGCACTGGATAATCTGGATTGTGGCCCTAGGATACGTGGCTATCTGCCTTGGCATCTTCTTCGGGTTACTGCGGTTTCGGCGTGGTGAGTACAGGCACATGCACAAGAGCAACCATAGAAACAAAACCCTCTTTCACATTGCTCTTTCTTCTTCAGAAATAAAAATAATTCAGAAATACAGACCAGGAGGAGCCAAAGGGTGCGGTAATTAGCTCAAATAAATATGTGAAATTCAATACAGTACTCTACCTCTTTGTTCTGGCTGCTTTCTTCTTTCCGAATCTCCCTTATCTACCCGTTCTTTTTTGCAAACAGCACATAGCCCCTCCTGTGCCTGGGTTCTATATGCTTGTGTTTTTCCCCTACAGAATTGACCGTATAGCGCTTGCAGTGTTGCAACTAATCTTGATAGCTTCCCCTGAACAGCTAGAATGTTTATGAATATTCTGTAACCAAAGCAACACAGCTAATGGTAGAAAGAGAAATAGGGTCTGGTCACACGGACGTTTAGTTTAGGAAAAGATGGCAAGAATACACAGAAGAACTATACAAGAAAGACCTCGATGTCCTTGACAACCACGACGGTATAATCACTGACCTCGAGCCAGACATCCTGGAATGTGAAGTTAAATGGGCCTTAGAAAGCATTACTAACAACAAAGCTAGTGGAGGTGATGGTATTCCAGCTGAGCTATTCAAAGTCTTAGAAGATGATGCTGTTAAAGTTCTGCACTCCATTTGCCAGCAAATTTGGAAAACGCAACAGTGGCCACAGGATTGGAAAAGATCAGTATACATTCCAATCCCAAAGAAGGGCAATGCCAAGGAATGTTCAAACTATCGCACAATTGCACTCATATCACACGCTAGCAAGGTCATGCTCAAGATCCTACAAGCTAGGCTTCAACAGTACGTGGATAGAGAACTACCAGAAGTACAAGCTGGGTTTCGAAGAGGTAGAGGAACTAGAGATCAAATTGCCAACATTCGCTGGATTATGGAGAAAGCAAGAGAGTACCAGAAAAATATCTACTTCTGCTTCATTGACTATGCTAAAGCTTTTGACTGTGTGGATCACAACAAACTATGGCAGGTCCTTAAAGAGATGGGAGTACCAGACCACCTCACATGTCTCTTGAGAAACCTGTATAAGGGCCAAGAAGCGACAGTTAGAACCGGATATGGAACAACTGATTGGTTTAGCATAGGAAAAGGAGTACGACAAGGATGTATATTGTCACCTTGCTTATTTAATATATATGCAGAGTACATCATGCGAAATGCTGGCCTGGATGAATCACAAGCGGGAATTAAGATTGCTGGGGAAAAGATCAACAACCTCAGATATGCAGACGATACCACTCTAATGGCAGAAAGTGAAGAGGACCTAAAGAGCCTCTTGCTCAGGGTAAAAGAGGAGAGCGCAAAAGTGGGCTTGAAGCTCAACATCAAAAAAACTAAGATCATGGCATCCGGCCCCATCACTCCTTGGCAAATAGAAGGGGAAGTCGTGGAAGTAGTGACAGACTTCACGTTCCTGGGATCCCAGATCACCGCAGACTGTGACAGCAGCCATGAAATTAAAAGATTTCCTTGGGAGGAAAGTGATGGCGAACCTAAACAGCATGATAAAAAGTAGAGACATCACCCTGCCAACAAAAGTCCGCATGGTCAAAGCAATGGTATTCCCAGTAGTCATGTATGGCTGTGAGAGTTGGACTATAAGGAAGGCCGAGCGCCGAAGAATAGATTCTTTTGAACTATGGTGCTGGAGGAGACTCTTGAGAGTCCCTTGGACTGCAAGAAGAACAAATCAGTCAATCCTCAAAGAAATCAACCCTGACTGTTCCCTGGAAGGCCAGATAATGAAACTGAAGCTCAAATACTTTGGCCACCAAATGAGAAGGGAGCACTCCCTGGAGAAGACCCTGATGCTGGGAAAGATTGAAGGTCAAAGAAGACGGGGACGGCAAAGGATGAGATGGTTAGACAGTGTCATCGATGCAACGAACATGAAATTGAGCCAACTTCAGAGGACGGCAGAAGACAGGAGGGCCTGGCGGGAGCTGGTCCAAGGGGTCGCGAAGAGTCGGACTCGACTGTGCGACTGAACAACAAAATGAGAGACAAAGTTAGGAGGGTCAGAGGGTTAATCTGGGAGACTGGTCCTTAGAAGACAGGGCTGTAGAAAAAAGACTCTCTGGATTACCTGGCTCAATAAAAGGGGAATGTGGAATATGCATCTCTAAAAGGTGGGAGAATTTTTGAGGGGGTACCATCCATCGTCAGAACTGGTCCTAGTGCCAGGTGTTACCCATCAAATAGGCTCTAGGATTGGCCCTTGAGATTTGTGTGGGGAGGTAGTTAGATTAGGGAGAGCTGGGTTCAGATTGTGACTCTGCCGTGACGTTCGCTGCATGGCTTCGGGCCAATCGCATACTCTCAGTCTAAATGACCTCACAGGGTTGCTGTGAGGGAAAACTGGGAAAAGGAGAAAAATACAAACCACCCTGAGCTCTGTGGCACTCTGATAAAAAATGCATAAGTAAATAAGTACACAGTGCTGCGTGAGGAACCATGTATGCCAGGGGTTCCCAACACGGTGCCTATGGATATCAAGGTACCCTCTGATATCTCACTTCCTGGCATCCCCTCCCTTCTTCCCCATAGTATCTCTTCCTCAAAGCAATCCTGACTTTCTTCCACTTTAGGAGAGCAGGGGTGCTTCAGAGGTGCTCAGGATGCAAGTCTGCAGGGAGCGCCCACTTGGAAGAAGGGGCTTCTGCCACAGTGGGATGCTTGACTTGGAACCATCCAACATTTTGTTGAACTTTCTGATGTTTTGAGATTTGACCCCACCCACCTGCCTGCTGTTTTACTGTGGTGTTGAGAACTTCCTGTTCCCAACATTCCAACCGGACTGACAGTTCATTGTTGCTAGGGACCCTGATGTATGCCATCCTGGCACTGCTTTGGAGGAATGGCCGGATAAAGGTAAAGGATCGGGCAAGGGTTCCGCAGCCATGGGAGAGGCCTTCCTCCAGTAGCCCTTCAAGAGGAGCTCAAAGGGGAAGGAAGTCTGATGCTCAACCTAAAACATCAATTCATGTATTTATTTTTAAATTTTCCCCTTGCATTTTAGTGCCACAGGATCCCTCAGGGGGAGCTTGTGGCAAATTCACAGCTTGCTGCCTTTAATTTTACATGATTCTTTGGTTTCCAGAAAGTTCTTCCAGGCCCAACGGAACAGGGAACCAGCCTCTGGTAGGATTCTACTGCCCTCAGCGAATGGAGATGGTGAGTTAATGACCCGCTATCTGTCTCCTGCTCAGAAAACCAGCTCTTCAGGGGTTTCTTGCTGGTCAGGGACCCAACTAGCAAATCTCCTTGCAGGGTTGCCAGCCACCTGGAGAAAAATAAATGTTGTGTCCTTTTTAACAGAGGCTTAGTGGCATGTGTGATGGACAGTAGATGGCTAAAACTTTAACCTGGTCTGAGAACCATGAGTGATAGGGGATTCAAATGGAATTCTACAGATGGGAGTGGCAGTTAAGAAATGACAGTTGACTGGGAATCAAAGTTAAGACAGTGAGAGAATCAAGAAGGATCTCTCTCAAACCTGAGGGAAATAGCTCCTAGTAGGGGGGGCGATCCCTGTTAAGTGGTTAAAAAGTGATATTGGAACATGTGTGAATGTTTTTGCCTTCACCAGCTGAAGTGTCTTTGAGACAAAGAAGCTTATGCTTGTTTATTTAAGCAGACACTGCAAGAAATCTCTCCTCAGTATTTAAAGACTTGTTTGTATAACTGGTTGTGACAAACTATCTTTTGTTTATATTTACACAAAGTTACCTCATTCCTGTTGCCTGCTCACCTTCTAAGCCCTAAACCTGATACCTACCTGACCATTTCAACTCATAAGTAAAATAAAACTGTTTGTTTTGAATTACCATCAGCCCTTTGTGTGCCATTACCAAATAAAGACAAAAGAAGGATTCAGTCCCTCAGATCCTTAGACTGGGTCAGTATATGTCCATATACATTTAAACAAAAGGGCGGGACAGACAGAAAAACAAAGAAGAAAGAAAAGCAGCTGCCCAGCCAAGAAGATAAAGGGATCCTGGGGGACTCGTCATAGCATGCTATTTACCAAATGATGTTATTTACTTCCATGACATAAAAGCTTCACCTACCAATGCTCATGCAGTCAGCCTTTATTAAAGGGGCAAGACATTTTTGTCCTGGCTGGTGGCAACCCTATACAAGAGACAGGTGCAAGCGTTAAGGCTTCTAGAATGTTCTTGTTTGGCTCTTTTTCTGGCTGCCTTTAGGAGACTGGTCTAAACCCAGGAGGGACTGGTGTCTTGACAGAGCTTGCCTTTCTTTTTCCTAAGGCAAGGAACCAGCAGATATCTTCTCCTATGAGAATGTATTGCCCAATGTGAGTCCAAGTGGTGGCCAGCAGTCCCTACAGAAAGGGAACACCCTGCCTACTGCCACCAAGGTGGAAGGTAAGTGCTGGCTGTGTGTATGGGGGGAGGGAGAACCAAGAGGAGGGATGTGCTGTGTATGCAGAAAATAGCAGGGGAAGCAGCACAACGGAGGGGAAAAGAATGCCGGTGACAGATTTATGCTGACTCTGAGCATCATTATGGATAAGAGGCAGGGAGGGAAAGGAATATGATGACAGCTTAGAAAGTCAGAATACAATGTGCAGAATGAGGGGCAGATTCAGAGATCATTTTGGGGGGATCGTGGGGGATCGCAGTTCCCCCGGGTGAGGTACGGGGGTGGGGCACATGATGAAGCCCCGCCCCCTGCTTCCGGCCACCCCGCTTCCAGCCCTCATTCAGCCAGGAGGAGGCAGGAGAAGAGGGAGGGTAAGTTGCTTCCTCCCTGCCTCTCCCCACCCCTGCCTGCCTGGGGCCAGGGAGGGCCTTCGCGGGGCTTCCTTGCACTCCCGCCGGGTTTGCAGGTCCACCGCCGGGCCCCTCATGGGGCTCGGCAGTGGAGCTGCAAGGCCGGTGCCAGCGGCCGGGACCGTTGGGGGCGGGGTGTGTGGCCTTATGACACACTTCCGGTGATGTCAGGGGTGTGTGGCCTTATGACACACTTCCGGTGATGTCGGGGTGTGTGGCATATGCTAATGAGTTATGCTAATGAGTTCCCCTAGCTATTTTTCTACGAAACGACCCCTGGGCAGATTACATGTACTGGAAGCAGACAAGGTTGCTAACTACGGTTTGGGAAATTCCTGGAGATTTGGCGGATGAAATCTGGGGAGAGTGGAGTTTGGGGAGGGGAGGGATCTCAGTGGAGTATATAATACCATAGAGTCCACACACCAAAGCTGCCATTTTTCTCTCGGGGAAATGATCTCTGTAGTCTGGAGATGAGCTATCACCCTAGGGGATCACGAGGCCCCACCCTGATTTTTGTTCCCAATAAAAATATAGCAATGCTTGTTCTCATGGGCAAGCTATAGCTGGAACTTTAGCAGTGGTACTGCTTCTTCTTTCCTTTTCTTCTTTTGTTCACAACCTACTTATTTCTTGTGG